TCAGCCTCAGCCTCAGCCTCAGCCTCCGCATCAGCCTGCCTCAGCCTCAGCCTCAGCCTGCCTCAGCCTCAGCCTCAGCCTGCCTCAGCCTCAGCCTCAACCTTTTCCTCAGCATCAGCCTGCCTCAGCCTCAGCATCAGCCTGCCTCGGCCTCAGCCTCAGCCTGCTTCAGCCTCAGCCTCAGTCTGCCTTCAGCCTCGGCCTCAGCCTCAGCCTGCCTCAGCCTCAGCCTCAGCCTCAGCCTCAGCCTGCCTCAGCATCAGCCTGCCTCAGCCTCAGCCTCAGCCTGCCTCAGCCTCAGCCTCAGCCTGCTTCAGCCTCAGCCTCAGTCTGCCTTCAGCCTCGGCCTCAGCCTCAGCCTGCCTCAGCCTCAGCCTGCATCAGCCTCAGCCTCAGCCTGCCTCAGCCTCAGCCTGCCTCAGCCTCAGCCTCAGCCTGCCTCAGCCTCAGCCTGCCTCAGCCTCAGCCTCAGCCTTCAGCCTCAGCCTCAGCTGCCTTCAGCCTCGGCCTCAGCCTCAGCCTGCCTCAGCCTCAGCCTGCAGCCTCAGCCTCAGCCTCAGCCTCAGCCTCAGCCTCAGCCTCAGCCTGCCTCAGCCTCAGCCTCAGCCTGCTGCCTCAGCCTCAGTCTGCCTCAGCCTGCCTAGCCTCAGCCTCAGCCTGCCTCAGCCTCAGCCTCAGCCTGCTTCAGCCTTCAGCCTCAACCTTAGCCTCAGCCTCAGCCTCAGCCTCAGCCTGCATCAGCCTCAGCCTCAGCCTCAGCCTGCCTCAGCATCAGCCTGCCTCAGCGTCTGCCTCAGCCTGCCTCAGCCTCAGCCTCAGCCTCAACCTCAGCCTCAGCCTCAGCCTGCCTCAGCCTCAGCCTGCCTCAGCCTCAGCCTCAGCCTGCCTCAGCAGCAGCCTGCCTCAGCCTCAGTTGGCTACGGGCATTCAAAATGTGGCCCGGGAATGGAGTTCTGGGAACTCGAAGAGCACGAAGTGGCCTACAGTTGGCTCCGGGCATTCAAAATGTGGCCCGGGAATGGAGTTCTGGGAACTCGAAGAGCACGAAGTGGCCTACAGTTGGCTCCGGGCATTCAAAATGTGGCCCGGGAATGGAGTTCTGGGAACTCGAAGAGCACGAAGTGGCCTACAGTTGGCTCCGGGCATTCAAAATGTGGCCCGGGAATGGAGTTCTGGGAAGTCGAAGAGCACGAAGTGGCCTACAGTTGGCTCCGGGCATTCAGAATGTGGCCCGGGAATGGAGTTCTGGGAGGTCGAAGAGCACGAAGTGTGTGACTGTTGGCTTAAAACGACTTCTGCGGCACCCTGTCCGGCACCCGCCCAGACCCCCCTGTGGAGTCATCTGCTGCTCTCTTTTGAGACCACTAGAAACCTATCAGAACAAGCTGTTAGGTAAAAAAACGTTGACTTTGTATGGCTTTTGATAGGTAGGACGCGACCACCCGCTTTGGGTTACCCAAGCGATGTTCATGCAGTCCCATTCCCGCTACACTTTTCGCAGCGTCGAAGACAAGAAAGTACATGTTGTCTAGAAAAACGTTGACTTTGTATTTTTTGGGTCGGTAGGACGCGACCACCCGCTTAGGGTTACCCAAGCGATGTTCATTCCGTCAGATTCCTGCTGCACTTGTCGCAACTCGACGACATGTTGGCGAGAACAAGTGTGGGTTCGTATTTTTTTGTAATTAGGACGGCGGGGTTGCGATCGGCCGCCTAGGTGGGGGTTTGGGGGTGTTTAATCATAAGAAGTAAGGATAAGGATGTGGGGGTATGGGAGGGGGGGTGGGGGGGTGCGGGTGTGGGTGTGGATGTGCGTGTGAGTGTGGGTGTGGGTGTGGGTGCGGGTGTGGATGTGGGTGTGGGAGTGGGTGTGGGTGTGGGTGTGGGTGTGGGTGTGGGTGTGGGTGTGGGTCAAGCTAGCCAGCTCGAGCGAGTCAAGCATGGCATGCCCATTCCCTCCCGCCCTCCCGCAACATAAGAAGCAGTGATGGCACAAGTGGCGGCTGCGCGGGCATTTCCGAGCGAGTGGAGGATACCCCAAAACACCGCATTGACGTCCGCGCGGGGTGCGCGCCGCGTCCCATTCCCGCCACGTATTTCGCATCGTCGACGACAAGACTGGCCATGATGAAAGGAACAACGGACACGTTCCGCCCTCCCACAACATAAGAAACAATGCTGGCGCAACTGGGTGCTGGCGCGTAGTGGTAGTAGTAGTAGTAGTAGTAGTAGTAGTAGTAGTAGTAGTAGTAGTAGTAGTAGTAGTAGTAGTAGTAGTAGTAGTAGCAGTAGTAGTAGCAGTAGTAGTAGTAGTCGTAGTAGTAGTAGTAGTAGTAGTAGTAGTAGTAGTAGTAGTAGTAGTAGTAGTAGTAGTAGTAGTAGTAGTAGTAGTAGTAGTAGTAGTAGTAGTAGTAGTAGTAGTAGTAGTAGTAGTAGTAGTAGTAGTAGTAGTAGTAGTAGTAGTAGTAGTAGTAATAATACTAATAGTAGTAGTAGTAGT